AAAGTCATTTGAGCAGAGAGTGGAGGATCAGAGGTGCAAAGAGTGATCTAGAGGGGTGAGCACATTTGTTCCTTTGGCCTGATTAACTCTTCACCTCCTGGATCAGATGGCAGCTGGAAGAAGCCCAGGTCAAGGCTCTCTTAAAGCATGGAGTCCAGGAAAAGGACCCCTCTTGTTACTAAGGGGTGACACTGCTCCAATCATATCACTGAATTTTAGGCAAAAGTGGCACTTAACCCTTTCAACAACTGGTTTCCTGCACACCATCAACTGAAAGAGTTCTAAGGTGAATCAGATGCCCCAAAGATCTATGTCCTTTCAGTTCTGCTGAATGAAAATATTTCCCCCAGTATTCATTGTTCAGTTATATAGAAAATGATTCACCCAACGTTAGGGCAATCAGCCTGTCACGATCACCTTCCAAGGTCATGCAACCTGGCTCCCATTCAAGAGCGTGGACAATCAGTTGCTTTTATGCTCAGTGTTTGCTATTCTAGTATAGCTACTCCTGGAACATGGGAGAAATATAGCTGTGCAGCCAGAGGACTCACCTCTCCAGCAATGATGTCTGCAGCTGATTTCATGAGGCTTTAAGAAAGGACCACCTGTTTCCCGTTCCTATCTGGTAGGTTTGCCCAGCAAACCTTCACTGAAGTGCCAAGTCCTAATGCTTTGTTTTAAAGAATGAATTGACATCCAGTACTACACTTTTCAAAAGTAGAACATCTGTTTTTACAGCTTCATTGTGCACATAAAATTGCCCCTGGGCAAAGCTAGCAGAGAAAGAAAAGGCCAAGGGAGAGCCTTTGGGAGACAGTTAGGACAGTGACTGGTTGCTGGAATATAGCTCTTTACTGAGTAGCATGGCATGTTCATCTTTTGACAAACTTAATATCCTGGGTACCAATGACCCCTTTGACTTTTTTCCACTTGAAAATCCTGGATGAGAGCTCATACTTCTCAGTAAAATAGGGGAGGGACCACTTCCCCATCCTCCTGTCAGTCATCACAAGATACCTTCCTGGGGGTTGTTCTGGGTTGGTCCTTCCTCAGCTACTGTTGTTGCAACCCTGTACTTTTCTGACTGTCTGTCAGGAAGGAGACAGGAAATTCTAGTCACCCTCACAGCAGCTGCGCCATTCCCCCTATCCTCTTCCAATGACGTTGGTTGGCTTTGGTGACAGGAGGTCAGGAACTGAGCCATAGTGGAGGTCAGAAAGACAGGTCACTGTTTATGCCGTTGTTGGGCTAGGGATCCTGCTGAGGGCTGTTGGCTTTCTTCCTTTCTATACTGTTTCTCTTTCCGTTCCTCTTTTTATGGCTGCACAACCAAAGCATCCTATTTTCAAAACATGAGACTGTTTTGCCACTGAGGAACTTTTGCTCTGAGGCATTTTGCTGAAGTGTAAGACAATTCTAATTCAGGAGGTGATGAATGTTGAAACACAAAACTTAATGAACACATCTAAGAAGGCAATCTGTTTAAGCAGAACAGCTCTAACCCATCTAACTGAACTTGAGCGGCAGGCAGAAGATTCACTAGACATCCCCTCCATCATGAAAAACAGTGTCACTGCCTTGTAAACTCCTGCTGACCGTATTCCATCTTCTTGGTTTTTTTTTTTTTGAGAAGATGACCTATATGCAATATTAATGTTCCTGGCTACAACTTTCTCTAAACTTTTGAAGTTCCATTTGACCTGTGACTAGCATTAAGGGATCAAGAAAATTTGGGTGAAGGAGAAGACTATGGTCTTGTAAGTCACATAATTAGTTCCTTATCTAATTCCCTAGGTTCTGAAGTACACTTGGGAAAGGCAATTGTAATCTCTGAGTCACTCACTCTTCTTTAGACTCTAAAAGGGTTAAAGAAAACAAATAAACAAGCAAAAGGACAACCCTACCCAGATGAGACAAATATGCAAGACTGTTTGCCTCTCCCACTATAAACAGTTGACTCTCCACCATATGCATGTCGACCAGCACGTATGTATGTCATCTGCACATGCCCCTTCTGTAATGCCTCTGGCTCTCCTATCTGCACCCTAAAAGTTCAGACATCACAAACAAAACTCAGTGCTCATTTAGCTGAACCAAAAGTAGGGACACAGATCCTTAGGTGAATCAGAAGTAGGGGCACAGATTCTTTTTTGCAAAAATGTAGTGGGTGCTATTAGTAAGTGATCATCTACTGAATTTTTCCTATTGGTCAGGTTTCTTATGACATGTTTTATTTCAATCTACACAGAAACCTTCATGAGGGAGGTACACCACTTTATCCCCGTTTTACAGATGAGAAAATTGAGTCTTAGAGCAGTTAAGTAATTCAGTCTCAGTCAAACTGATTACTAAATGGAACAGACAGGATTAGAACCACAATTTTTCAATTCCAAAGCCTATACTTTTTATAGTCTCCTTTTCTAAAATGCACTCACACTTCCAGTTCTGTAACTCAGATTTGCTGTGGTTCCTTTGTTCAGTGAAAGGAAATGACAAATGTCCAGATAAGCTACAGCTACTTGGTAATATCGTGATAGTGAGGATGATATTTTTAAATGGCAATTTGGATGAAGATCTCAATAATTCTGACAAAATTTAAAGTTGAATGTGGAATATTATTTTTTATCATAGACAATTCAGTCCCCCCCCTGCCACACAGTATAAATCAAGTTTTTTTTTGGGGGGGTGGCCACAAAAACATTCTCATTGTTTTGTTATCATATGTGTTGTGGTTTACATTATACTTGAGCTTTACCCCATATAACTAACGGAATAATTCAGACTAAGAATAGCTAAATGAAAAGAGACTTTTTAGCTAAATAAAAAGATATTTTATCAAAAATTGAAATCGACTTCACCTTTTGGGTGGACTTTGTTTATCTGCTGGATAATTGCTTTGTTCTACAAACTTGCTCTAGAACTTGAAAATTGGTGAAGGACATGGGTCTACTTGAGCTGTGTCATTATTGAGCTTTAGCCCTTTCTCTGGGGTTAGCTCTATTCAACTTTCATTGTTTCCTGCACAGGATACCATAAAGGAGGACTAGAAGCCTGGGGGGTTGGAATTCTCACCAGGACCTACACAGCCCTTGGTCTTAAACTTTATAAAATAATATGCTGAAGATGAAATTATTTTAATTAATTTGAAAGACAGTGTCTAATGTCAGCATTCCAGGTACTATTGTTAAAATGCTACAATGCATCAACACTCAAGTTGAACAATAATGACACTCTGTAGTTTCTCTGTGAGCATTCTTTTTCTCCTTCTGGAATTAGTCACTTGCTTTATCTTGGTGACTCGAGAAATTCATCATGTCCTCTAAGATGAAACATGCTGAAAAAAATCACCCCCAAATATTGGATCTACATCTTGTTCAGGTTTCAAGTGTCATGAAATACAGAGACAAGAGTATTTGCTAATGCTTCTAAATAGTCTAAGCATGTATGAAAATCCTTCTATGTAGAATCCCATGTAGTGTGATTTGGAGAAGTTACATAGGTTAGCTCCCTCCTGGGGAAGCAGTTGGTTAGGTTTTATACCAGCCGGAAAGTCCCAGAACTTAGCACTCAAATGAGAGTTTCGAAGTCAGTAAATGATATTTAAACCTCAAGGGTGCCCTTTTGTTTTTTCCCCCTGCCAAAATGAACTCTGAATTACAATTTCAGAAAGAGACTTATTTTGCCCTTTTATCAACCAATAAACAAATAACGAGTTCCAGAGTAAGAAAAGCTGCCCCTCACCTCACACCTCCTTTTCTCCTTCAGGACCTCCTAAGGCTGCACTGCTTCCTCTGCTCAGATGTTTTGAGCAGGAGCCAGCCAGCCTCAATCCAAAGATGATTCTTTAACCCGGGGGGGGGGGGGGGGGGGGGGATGAGGGACACACATTCACCAGGGCACCTCAGGCTGGCAGGTGTGGAACAGAACCTCTTCCCAATCTCAGAAATGTAAGACAATAACAGAATGCCTCAGGCTAGAATGATTGGGAAGTCTAAACAGTGCTCTTGTGAGGAAATAGGGACAAGGCCTTCCATTAAAGTGATATATATATATATATATATATATATATATATATATAAAAATCTCACAGATATATGCTCCTGTGTGGTGTGTGTATGTATATGTATGTGTGTGTGTGTATATGTGTGTGTGTATATATATATATAAGAGAGTGCCAGCATTCTCCAAGAGGGAAAAATACAAACAACAAGCAACAACTCTCACTATATAACCTACATAAATTAGCACCCTAAGTCCAGGTGTTAATTAAACAAATGATATAATGATAGAAAATTAAAGCTTTTCAAAACTATGTTTTGTCTAGAGTTGGTAAATAAATCCATTTTTTGGCAGTATGGGTAGACCTTAATTTCAAAGGATTCCACTTTGAAGCTCAGCAAACTTTTTAAAAACTCACTGTCTTTGACAACAAGGTATATTGTTACTTTTTTATCTTAGGTCAAGTCAGCATCACAAAAGAAACATTAGAATGTCTCCCACTGTCTTTCTTAGAAGGAATTTACCAAACTTAAGGGCAAATCATTGTGTCCCATCGATGTAAGGAGGTTGAATTAATTTATTAATTAATTAATTTCATATATATATATATATATATATATATATATATATATATTTCTTTTTTCACCTTACTGCAGTGCAGCCCTGTGGACTCTGATTCAGATTTTAGTTTTCTGATGATTGTAAAATTTTTAAAAAGGAAGCATTGTCATTTGTATACTAGCTTGGAAGATATATCCTTCGCCTTTAACATATTCTAAACGGCATCAATTAGAGAAGCTTGTTTTCTGGTAATAAAGCTACACTTTTGCTATAGCACGGAGACATAAAGTGTGGCCCTTTGGAACAGTCTCCTGAGAGCTCAGCAGTCTTACAGTCGCTTGTGCCCTCTGCAACATGCTGCTGCAGACCGAGGCTCAGGGAGCCAGAGCTCCGGGGGAGCAGGTCATACTTTAATGTAGAAGACGGTGGTGGTCGCTTACCTTGTTAGAAGCCATCTCACTGACAGAGCGGTAGGTCTGTATGGTCTCTAGCTGGTCTAAGCACCAGTCTAGTTCCTCCAGCGTTTCCATTGCTAATTTTTGATAAGATTCTTCTGCAAACAAACACACAGACATGTAGTTAGGCTGGAGCGGCTGCAGGCTGTCCATAGCAGAGTCAACGCTGCCACTGCTGATCGCTGCGCTGCTGAAGGTGCCCCCTTGCTCCTTCATTATTTGCTTGCGGACTCCTTCCTTCCAGCTCTCTCCACCAGGAGAACAAATCACCGTGGTGCTCTGCCCCAGACGGCTGGTGCCAAGTTCTCAACCCCTGCCTCCCCCCCCCCCCCAGCCCCCGCCTGGATGAGGTGTCAGTGATCTACCAAGAAACTTCCTCTGAGGAAGAAGGCGGGGGAACAGTCTCTTACACCCTCATCTGCATACATGTGCCCTAAAACTAAAGGCAGAAGAAAGGAAGACTTTTCTCAGGCTCTCTCTGCCTTAGTCATTCCGGGGCTCTTTAGGGTATGTGAGGTCATTTCTGAGTGTTTGCAGTCAGAGAGGAGAAATGAGGAAAGCTTTTCCTCATTTTGCTTTTCTTCTAAATGGAACCGACATTGGAAAGGTGGGGGAGAACCCTTTGACCACTACGTTCAAAGGCTGCTGCTACGTCGTCATTCATTCTGGGAATGTGTTGGTGTTGGAATAACTGTGGATTCAGCAAACACTGACCTGCACAAATAAAGGGGCGTTCGCTGCTCCTTTCTCTTCCCTGAATCTCACCTTTAACTAAAGGCAAAGTGAGGTCTCCCTGATAAGACTCCAGTCTAGGAGAAACAGTCTGGAGTTTTTACGTGAACACGTTTATTGGCCTGGGAGCCCTGCAGCTCTTGTTATACTAAACAAAGTAAAACTTCCCTCCTGCAAGTGCCAGGGTCACAGGGAAATTCTGAACCGGACTTTCAGGTGGAGCCAGATGTGAACGCTGTAGATTTTCATTTTAATTAAAGCTAGGGGCTCTGATTTGTTGTCGTAGGAAGTGAGAATTTCTGGGAATATTTCTAAGTGCTTCATACAAAAAAAAAATACTGTTTTCAAGATCATTTTTGCTGGACAATTAAAACTCTTTTACTTATTTACCGCATGTCATTCCATATCCAAAGATTTGTGGGTCTGTACAAATACTTCAGGTTATTGACTTAAGAAACCTATGTTAATAAACACTAAATTAATTTTATAATCCTAGATGAATTAATGAAGCTACAGGCAGTTATAAAAAGCAGTCGGACTTTCCCACTTCTTGAACATTTTTGAGGGAAGTGACATCCATTCACCCTGCTGAGCTTTCTGGAATGCACACAATAGGCACTAATAAAATAAGAAATTTATTTTGGAGTCCTAATATAACATTCATGTCCGATTTAGAGCACATTTCTTATACAATTATACAGAAATCCTAGTGAGACCACATAGCTTTTTATTTTTATATGAATAATTTTGTGTGTGTGGCACTCCAGTACTTGAGACAGAAAGGGAGTAAACAGAAGTGTAATTCCAAGTGAATGGAATCAATTGGCCACAGATGCACATTTCAAAGAATCCTTTCTTTGTTTATTCCCCTAATACTGGTACACTTCAGGATAAATAGGGGTTAAAATTCAATATCCTGTATGTCATACTTGAAAAGCCACAAAACCACCAGATGTAACTTCCTCCATTTTTTCACACTCCTCAAAAATGTGTAGACAAGAATTGAGGTGTTTTTAATAAAATGTATTTAATGGCTTTCTTCTTCTCTTTTGCAATACTGCCTCATCATGAAGATTTTCCTCACTCCATAGTGTGTCCCCAAACACCCCCTTGCCTCCTGGGTTTACTTCCAGAAGAACACTTCTTCCAATGAACCTTACCCAAAGGTAAAGAGCCTTCCCGACCCCATTCCCTCTAACAAAATAAAAAGTGCAACCATCTCCCAATGCCTTGGGCTTTACTGTCTTGTATGCAAAACAACTGTAAGATGATATAGTATGGTTCTCCTTCATGAAGAGGAAAAAGGAGAAATCATTCTACTCTAACCACATAGAAAACATAGTAAGTATACCAGCAGAAGCTTTGAAAACAGAGGAGCACTCTTCAAAGACATAATGATTAGGTATACCAGCATACCAGCAGCTCATTTGTGGCCATGACAGCATAAGCGCATAAGTACTGTGCTTCCAGACTTGGTCCAAAATGAGGTGTGGGACTGGCTGATAGATGCCAAAGAATTTTGCACCATGGCCCTCTATTCTTCAGGTCAACCACAATATTTTTTCAGCAAAAAATTTATTATATTTTGAAGTTATGTAGTTAGACTTGTCACTTTCCAAAATCTTAATCCACAGTCAGGACTGCCTTATCATTTATCATGGCTACTAACTAAGGTCGGGGGCACAGGCATAAGATTGGGCTGTGGCTGTGGCTCAGTGGTAGAGCACTCATCTGGCATGTGTGAAGCACTGGGTTCAATCCTCAGCACCACATAAAAATAAAATAAAGGTATTGTGTCCACCTACAACTAAAAAAATACATATTTTTTAAAAACGGACTATGTATGAGATAGGAGGCCTGAAACGCCTTCTTGGACATAACCAAAGAAAGTGACCATTGCAGCTCAGGACTGGCCTCCATGCTGCAACTTTGCAACTCCGGCATCACACCAGTGTTTGGTCCCCTAGACACCCAGGAAATACTTGGAGAAATGGAAACCAAAGTGCCTGCCCAAGCAGCCTGCCAAGCCTTGGGTATCTGGAGGCAGAACAGCACTTATGCAATTACTACACAAAAAGCTTCAGCTTTGAAGTAACAATCAGAAATATTGACTTTGTCTTCTACTAGTTATTGTATGATACTACATCTCAACTTCCTACATCTATAAAATACAAAAAAAGAATATTTATCCCATGAAGTTATAAAGGGATTAAATGAGATAAAATATATAAAGTGCCTAGTAGAGTAGCCAGTTCTTAGTAGGTGATCGATACATACAAGTAATTATTAATGATACTCAAAGAAACTCAAAGGCCTAGCACTGAGAGTGAAGAAGAACAGGAAGAGGAATTGGAAGGAAGATAGCAGAGCTGCATATTCAACAAGGGATATTACAGTAAGAACTGCAGCATCATTTGCAGGGCTCAATGTACAATTGAAAGTGCAGGGACCCTTGTTCCCAAAGCAGGAAAAAGTGCTGTTAGAGGTACTAGTGATGATATTTCTTCTTTTCTTCTGTCATGTTGAGGTTCTCTCTACCCCTAAACTTCCAGTTTTAAAATACTTTTACACTGGCTGAAAAGTTGCAAAGATAATGTAGAAGGTTTTCCACATATTCTGCATCCTGGTTTATCCATTGTTGACATCTCACATCTTGTGGTATGCTTGTCACAATTAATGAATGGCTTCATGAGTTTTACTTAATGTCATATTCTTTCAGGCATTGGCATATCGTGAGATGAGTACAGACATTCCCAGAAGACCAAAGGCTTTGCCTCTTACAACTTAGGGCATACATACATATAGCTTACCAACTACTGGGTACCTCTCTTGCCAGTTGCCAGACTGCTATGCCCCAGCAAGAGGTGGGCCCTCCATAGCAGAATAATCCTTAAGGTATTATGTGTATCCCTATGAGTACCCCAAATTCTTTTCTGGGATGTGCTAGTTACCTGAATCAGAGGTAAGCAAAAGGCTTATTCCCACCAAGACATGGTCTCTGTCCACCACATTACAGCCTTACCAGCCCAGGGCAGGAATAACTACAGCCATACCCACACTTTATACTTTGCAAGGCACAGGGGACCAAATCAGATCCTCCCTGTACTTGCACCCAGAAACCTGGTGGGGATGGAGAGAAGCAGTGATCATGCATGGGGGCAGGAGGAAGGAGGCTGGAAGACTCTTGGGGTGCCAGGGATCAAAGGAAGAGGATGGTAGAAACCTAAAGACTGGGGATGTAGCTTAGTGGTAGAGTGCTTGCTTAGCATTAACAAGGCCCTGGGTTTGACCCTTAGCACTGAAAACAAAACAAAATAAAATAATAACCAGGTGAACCAGCCCAGGGAAGACAGGAAGGTGGCAGGATATTGGACAGTGTATGAGTCAAGTGTGTGCCATTGGCACACACTCCATTGTCTCATCTGATTTCACTTACAAAACACAAGTACAAAAATAAATTAGGAGTTTCAAGATGGCAAACATGGAGTCCCTCTGAGCATGGGGTCCTGTGCAACCATACAGGTTGTATGCCCATGGGGCTGGCTCTGTGCTTATCTTACTTAAGCTGGTCCCAAGAAAAAACAGGCTTAACTCTGTAGAAGTAAGTCTCAAAAGAGTAGCAGTAGCTAATGTAACCATGTATGGTCATTCAGTCAACTCTGGTTTCAAATATTTTCAGAGGGAAGGAGCAAGGATAACAACTACCTTCCTTTCCTCCTTTTTTTTTTTTTTTCTCTTTCTTTCACTCCAACAAGAGTGGCAAAGGAAGAATTTCTTCCTTTTGCAGGCCTGGTAGGTATTGTTTTTGATCCCGAGAAACAGGAAAAGAAAATGGATTAATGATTATAATTACTATCAATCTAGTAATAATACATGGCATTCAAATAGCTCTTTTCTTTAAGGAGCTCCAGACACACTATTCATTAATCCTTGCAACACCTCTGTGCGTTAGACATGGAAGAGGTATGATTATCTCTGATTTAACTTAAGGCACAAGCTAAGAGGTCAGAGGTTAAATTGTTAAGAGAAAATAGTCCCTCCAGATTTCTAGCCAGACTGTATCTTGGTCTGTGAAATAAAGGTTTCACTTCAGCACTGAAAAGCACAGGTATTATTGAAAATGCTGCATTTAAAGTTGCATGTCATCTTTTGAGTCTTTTCTAGCTAAAGTTGCATACTTGCTTTCCCAAATGTTGTCAGCTCTTGAGTCTCCTCTTCCCTTTTCTGATCCACTTTATGCAGCCCTCAGGAAAGGGAGGCTGTGCAATATTTACTTGGAAGACCAGGTGTAGTTCTCATCTTGCTTCAGTGGGCAGCCTCAGGAAAATTACCTAAGTAATTTATTTACTTGTAAACTGAGGTGGGA